TTCATTTGATACTTTCGTAGGGTGCTGAATGTCTCTCGCAGGTCGGCCAGATGATCAATAGAGAGTTTGCTCTTGACTAGCATGTTATCGACGTATACTTCCATGTTCCGGCCGATCTGGTGATGAAAGACGGCATTGACCAACCGTTGGTAAGTGGCCCCGACATTTTTCAACCCAAATGGCATGACACAATAATGGTAGGTTCCCCGGTCGGTGATGAAGAAGGTGTGTTCCCCGGTCAAACAGGTGCATCAGAATTTGGTTGTACCTAGAGAAGACATCCATGAAGCTGAGCATTTGATGACCGGCCGTGGCGTCAACAAGCAGATCTATGCGAGAAAATGGATAATTGTCTTTGGGGCAAGCTCGGTTGAGGTCGGAGTAGTCGACATAGAGTCGCCATTTATCATTATTTTTACGGACCAGGACCACATTTGACAGCCATCTAGGATAGTCCACATTTTTGATAAACTATGCCTCAATGAGCTTATCTACTTCAGAAGTGATAAGAGTATTGCGCTCCGGATGAAAGATGCGCTGCTTCTGGTGGAATGGTCAGAAATGGGACTCAATGCTGAGACGATGGGTGATGAAAAATAGGTCAATACCCGGCATATCGGAGTAGGTCCAGGCAAATACGTCGTTGTGCTCAATTAGGAGGGCCGTAAGGTCAGCCTTGGCTTGGGAGGATAGTTGGCTGCCGATCTTGGCAGTTTTTGTCAGGTTGGTGGGATTGATGAGGACCTCGACCAGCTCTTCCACTGGTTCCCCTCCGACCAGCTCGTCCTCGTCTCTGACGTCGAGTCCTTCAATGATCATAGCCTCCTTTAGCTTGACCTCTTTAAGTGAGGCGACATAACATTCTCTAGCCACGGTATGCTCTCCCCTTACCATGCCGACCCCAAGGTCGGTGGGGAATTTGACGGCAAGATGGAAAGTGGATGTGATAGCTTGGAAAACATTTAGGACGGTGCGGCCGAGGATGATGCTGTAAGCAGAGGGACAGTCGACGACAAGGAAGGTGAGCAACTTTGTGGTTTGCCACGGGTATTTGTCGATTGTGATGGGAAGATCGATGGAGTCGATTGAGGTCACCCGATCTCCAGTGAAACCGACCAATGGGGTTTGGAGAGGAGACAAACTTTCTTTCCCGACCTTGAGCTGGCGAAAGACATTTAGGAAGATGATGTCTGAAGAACTGCCGTTGTCAACGAGAACCCGTCTGACTTTGTAATTGGAGATGAGGGCAGAGATAACGAGGGGATCGTCATGGGGATAACGGATGCCTGTGCAGTCGGCCTCCGTGAAGGTGATGGGCTCCATCCACTGCTTTGGCTGTTTGGAAGGGCGGTCCAATGTGGCAACTTCTTTGTCTGAGCCCTGCCTTATTCTTTTGAGTTTTGCCCGCTAAGCCGAGCGGGATGATTCTCCACAAGCAAGCTTGCCAGCAATAACTCTGATCTCTCCAACAGGGGGGGCGGGCTTACCTTGTGCCTAGGGTTACTGTGGAGAGCGATCATGACCTTGGTTAGGTTGTGCAGGTTGCCGGGGAGGAGTGAGCTGGTGGTTGTTTCTAATAAGTTCAGTCATTTGCCTCTGCTGAGGGCGGGCTTCCGTGAATCGACCCAGACATCCCTGACATATCAAACCCTCGACCTGGTCTTTGAGGTTAACACACTCCTTGGTATTATGGCCGTGGTCCTGGTGAAAACGGTAGTATTTGGACTGGTCTCGCCGGTTGGAAGGAGGCCGTGACGGTTGGAGCCATTTTAGGGGATAATTTCGTTGAATCTGGTTCAAGACTTGTTCCATGAGGAAGTTGAGGGGGGTGTATGAACCGGCCGGGTGGTCGGGTTGATGCCGACCGGTCGGCTCGGGGTGGTCGGTCGGTATACTGAGGTGTTTGGTGAGTGTACTGGGTGTTTCTAGTTTCTGAGTCCTTTCTCTTCTCTCTGGGGATCAGGCTTTTGGCTGTAGGATCTTGTCGAGGGGCTAAGGAATCTTCGGCGTTCATGTATTTTTAGGCTTTAGAAAGTAGGGTTGCCATGGAGGTCGGGGGGTTTTTGGAGAGGAAAAAAAAATCAGATGATCGTAGACCGGCCATAAAAGCTGTGAGAATGACCTTGTCATCATTTTCTGCCACCTGCAAGGCCTCGGTGTTGAAGTGGGTGACGAAGTTGCGCAGCGACTCTCTCTCCGTCTGACGGATGTTAAGGAATTGAGTTGCCGGACGCCGTTGGTGCTGGGCACCAATGAAATAGCTGAGAAATGAGTCACTCAGGTGCTGAAAGGTAGAGACAGAGTCCGTCAGTAGCTGACTAAACCACAGTCGGACCGACCCCTTAAGTGTTACGGGGAAAGCCTGACACATGATTTCATCAGGGAATGCATAGAGGATCATGAGGGTCCTGTAGGTCTCCAAGTGATCGACTGGGTCCGTTGTACCGTCAAAAGAGTCAATCGAGGGCGTTTTAAACTTAGGAGGTAGAGGTTTGTCCCTGATGGAGGCAATGAATGGTGAGTTGGCTGTGGTAGATAGTTTATGCTGTATGTTCTGCATGACTCCTTGGAGCTGGAGCTTCATGGCTCGGAGTTCTGCGTCCCAGAGATGAACGTTGTCACTACCGGAATGCAACGGGGCTGGACACTACTGGCCTCTCCCTCGGGAGTGGGTGCCTGGACCGATGGAGGTAGGACCCGGGGTGGCGAGTTCATATCTAAGGGAGGGGGTCGCAAGCCTTCTAAGTTGGGTGGATGGGGCTGCTGGATAGTATGGCTCGGGGCTCATTCTTGGTTGAGTGGGATATCTGGAGGTAGTAGAGGAGGCATAGGAAGGTTTCTTTAGAGTAGAGAATTAATCAAGGCTTTATTTTGCTCGGCTAGACGGTTAATGCTGTTGGTGAGCTCGGTGAAATACTGCGGCGGGTTGTCTGGATTAAGAGGATCGGCTTGGTGGTCGGCAACATTGTGGTGAGAAACCATGGATCTAGTTGTGACCATCCACCTTGGTGAATGGCAGGAAGGGGTTATTGGAAAATGGTCTCTAGCGACAATGAGCACAACTGGCACGCGGAGCAAAAGGTTTCCCACAAACGGCACCAACTGATGATACAGCGTATTCTAGATGGAACGGGTCAGATTGGTCCACGCTTCACAAACCGGTGTCTGAGGTACCAATCTCACCGAGAGACCTGCACAAGAGTTCAACGTGGAACGGGGAGTCCCCCAGCGAACCCTTCGACGAGCAAGTTAGAAGGAGAGATAGAATGTAGAGATAGATTAGTAATAGAAAAACTTAGCCTTCTTCTTGTCTTCGACGTCTGCTTATATCCTCTGGTAATCATTTCGTTGTCCCTTCCGACCTGTCATCTTGGCCGAAAGTCTATGCTCTAGCTTGCCTTGTTCATGGTGAAGCCATTCTGTCTCGACGGGGAGGGGTTATCGTAATAAATGCTGTAAGGGGCTTCATTAATGGCTGATGTGCAGTGCAATAACTTTGCAAGATCTTTGTCTGCTTATGTGACTTGTCCTTCTCTTGCCACATGTTTAGATGTCATTGGTTCTTAAAGCCATGTTGAGCTCCAGCAACGTTGGGCTTTAGTATTTGAATTATGTATTGGGCCCTAAGTGGTGGATTATAACCTTTATGGGCTTACCTATGTTAATATAATATATAAATAAAATAATGAACCAACAAAATAGGAGAGAAGGAATATATATTTTCATAAATAATTAAAAACAAACTAAAATGACCAATTTCAAAGCAAGTTTACGGGTGTTTGGCAATAAGTTTTTTTTAGCTTTTGGACTAAAACAATATTAAAAGATAAAATAAATTAAAATAGTCAATAAAATAAAATATTACATCAAATTTATAATTATTTTACTATTTCTGTTACAAATATCACATTTAATTATAAAAAAATTCAACTCTCCTTCCAAACATAACTATTTTAACCTACAAAAATAACTAAAAATTAAAATAACCTCTCAAAATAACCAAATTCCGAAAGGGTCTGGCTTTGGTCCAGTCTACCATCGGATTGGACAGTGCTGTTGGGCCCGTGAAGGCCCACGACAGGTCCCGTTTTGAAAATTTGAATTGTTTAATGTGTAGAATTCGTCGAATACTATATGCCTGTAAAAAATCACGTTGATCGGATATCGATAGCTATGTGATCAAATCAGTTTTGTATAAAACAAAATGGACGGTGAATAAATTAACTGTTGATAAAAAACTGTTTTGATCACATAGCTATCGATATCCGATCAACGTGATTTTTCACAAGCATATAACACTCAACGAGTTTTACACATTAAACGGTTCAAATTTTCAAAACAAAATCCGTAATAAATCTCCACAAACCTAACAACACAGTCCAATCCGATGGTGAACTGGACCAAAGCCAGGCCCATTCCGAAACACTCAGCAATAGCAGCAGCAGCAGCAGCACTTCTCAATTCTCTCGAGTGCTATTCCAGTACAATAATATAAATACGATACGGCTTTACTTGATTCGTAATTTGCTACTTGTAAATTACAAATAGCCTTGAAATTTAGGCCAAGTTTGGCATCTCCTATATAATTCATCTTTTTATCTTTTTATCTTTTTTCCATCACATCACCTCTCTACTTTTCTGCACATCTTTTCGTAAAAAGACAAAAAGTGCACTTATTTATATCATCCCAAACAACCCCTTAGTAAAAATATAGATTTTCTTCAGTTTTGAGAAATTATAAATTATTTTATGAGGGTCAAATTTTTATAATAAATTAAAAAAAATTAAGAAAATATATATAAAAATAAAAATTTTAAAAAATAATTTATTATAAAAATAAAAACCTCGAAAGAACAAGATATCAAGAAAATCTATATTTTTAACTAACCTCGGTTCGAGGGTGTTTGTAGTTTGCCCTTATATTAATCTCTTATTGTAATGTGTTGTAAAAATTCTACTCACGAACTCAAACAAAGTGAAGAAGAAGAAGAGGAGCAAAAATGCATTCGTTCGGCTACAGAGCCAACGCCTTGCTAACGTTCGCCGTGACATTGCTCGCTTTGATCTGCGCCATGTCTTCTCTCTCCGACAATCTCAACTCTCCCTCTCCCTCCTCCCATGTCAAGGTCCTCTCTCTCTCTCTCTCTCTCTCTCTCTCTAGATCCCCTATTTGTTCGATCATTTCCACATCTCTCCTTGATTGATTGATTCATTCTTTTGTGTTTTTTGATTTTAGGTCTTGAACATCAATTGGTTCCAGAAGTCTACTCAAGGAAACGACGAGGTATTTCAATTCCTACAAATTTTTGTGTAACGAATGCTTGCCTTAACTTGATTGCTTTCTCAAATGCTGTACGTCTAGGGTTTTGTGATACCTAGAGATTGATTTAGATTGGGGTTATCATATAATTGTTCTACTTCTTTGTAATATATCATTCTGTGTATTTTAGTTTTTGAAGTAGCTTTGGTTGCAAGACTGTCAATTTAGGGTTAATTGATTTTATGTTACGTGTTTTTGTGATGTGTCTTACATATTTTTGTGGTAGATGGTATATTTTCTTCTGGTAGGAGTTATGACAATTTGTGGTTGAGAAATGAAAGTTTCGCATTTTTGTTGTAATGTTACATTTTTTTTTTATCCAAACATTTCTAATCACAAAATGTGTAACAATACCATGAAATTGCGTAACTTTATTTCTCAACCAGTAATTTTTGTAACTTCTACCAGAAAAATATATAACATTTATCACAAAAATACGTCACACACCACAAAAACATGCAACAAGGTGCATATGGTGTTTACCTATATGTTTTAATCATCAGTTCTTTTTTTTTTATTTTTTTTTATTTTCATTTCATGGAGATGTGACCAAACTGGGTTGTTGGTTCCTTATATGCTCCAATAAATCTCTGAATGATAGGATTTTATTTGGTTGTTAAATTTGTTATTATATAGTCATTTTTTCTCCTCCCTTGGAAAGGTGACACACCAGTGCTCAGTTCGATCTATTTCCTTGACCCCCCATGAATTGTATATTTGGTCAGTTGTAGGGTGCTTTATAATTAATGTGATCAATGCTTTCTAGGAATTATGTGCTGCTTGATTGGCTGCTTATTTTGTTGTGAAGCCTGACATATGAGGATGGAATCCCCTGATTGAAGGCATATAAGGCTTGGGGAAGTATTTCACTTGAAACATTAAAGCATATATCAGAAACGCTGTTAGACAGTGCAAGAATAGTGTTCTGGGGGTTTGGATATCATGGGTGATTAATGGCTTGCTAATTGATTTGATGGGTTTATATCTTAATATAATGAATGTTGTAAGGGGCTGGTGTAAGAATTGGTTAAGTCTTTTCTTTAGCATGAGTATCAAATAGTTTGAGATAAAACTTTTTACAGTGAAAATTTTGTACTCCAACAATTGACAAGCAGTTAGACAAAATGAAAATATAAAAAGTGCACCCAGTTTAGTTCCCATTAGATTGGAGATAGGTCTAACATTTTGGCGTTATTTGCGCAAAGTAGCTATCTTCAGGCTTGAACCACAGTTTTAAAGTTGATAGGTCGAATCCAGTGGCCCCCTATTTGATAAATTGGAAAATTAGTACTCTTTAATTTTGAGTCAACATTTCAAGCAAACAAAAACTTGGAGATTGAAAATAAGTACCTAACTAACCTTTATGTAGAAGCAACAGCATGGATTTCCCCCTCAATTAAAAATCAGCCTTGAATTTGGCTGGTTTATAATCCTTCCTTTCCAATTCATATAAATAAGATATTTTGATACTTGGATAATTTTCTTGTTCTTTACTACTTTCACAAGTTTGTGAGTCATATATGTATATCTGTATGAGCATGATGGACCAGGTAATTGTTGTCCTTTTGCAAAAATCAGGGCTTGTAATTAATTTGGAAAGCTATACAAAAAAATATGAAGAGATTGTTAAAAGTTGGAAAAAATTAAACAAGGAATAACAAGAACTGAACTTTAAAGTCCTTGAGGAAGCATTAATTGGCACTGCTAAATCTCGGGCGTTTGAGGCCGTCTTAGAAAGCAAATCCACAAAGGGTTAGCCAATGAAGGATTCCAAGAGGATGATTAGATTTAGATATATTCTTGTGCATTCTAGTACTCTTCCCTTCTCCATCTAATTACAAAACTGAGAACCAAAGGGAGCTGTGAAATTCTGTGGATATGGATGCCTACCAAAACATTGTTGTCATTATTTTCTCCTTGTTGGCTGATATTTATTTTAGGAATTGTTTTGTCTCCTTTCCCTTAAAGGAACTACATTGAAGCATGAATCACACGTTGTCAAATGACTCTCCAAAACCTTGGAAAATACGATACCATCAATAAAAATTTATCTTCGAAGTGGAACTAGTAATGCTAAACCAAATAAGAAGGTAAAACTAATGGAAATATTTGGCTTTAAATATGATTTTTTGGCATAAAATAAAAATCTTGAGTACATTGGTTCAAATTCTGACTCGTGAAATTTTAACACCTGGCTATATGAGGAATAGGAGAGCTAAAAAGAGTTTTAATTCTTTTTGACTGTCTATATTTTTATTAATTTTTCTCCCAATTGTTGAGGTTCATCTTCCAATCCAACAAAAAATGCAAATATTGAATCAATTACAAACTTTGTTTGGGATAAACTAAGGCCTTGTTTGGGAACAGGCTAATTTAGTAACTTTTTGGCTATTTGGTTAAAAAGGTAGGTAAAAAAAACTTATATGTTTGGGATGACTTTTTGGCTAATTACGAAAAGATGTGCAAAAAGTAGAGAGAAAAGAGAATCTTTGACTTTTTGGTATGAGTTGTTGGCTTTTTGGCTAAAATGGTAACTTTTTGACTTTTTGGCTAAAAAGGTAAGTCCCCAAACGAGGCCTAAATAAGTGCACTTTTTGACTTTTTATGAAATATGGGTTGGGTATGGGTTGAGTTTGAAGTGATGTGATAGAGAGACGATGTGACTCAAATAAGATGATGTGACTTAAATAAGATAGTAACTTTTTGACTTTTTGATTTTTTTTAGTTATGCCAAACCAACCCTTATTTGTTCTGCTAGGTTAGATTGATAAAATTCAAAACTTTAAATTGTTTCTGAGGTCTTTCCAAAAAGTTGTTCTGCTAGGTTAGATTGCTATGAAACTTTATATGCAATGGTAACTAGGAGACAGGTTTCCCTCAGTATCGTTAATGTGGACAGTTGTTACACTGCTGCAATTGAGGATTCTCTGACTTATCTTGGAAGGGAAGCTACCAAAGTTTGCTTATTGTACCCTCTCCAAGTGCCACCAATTTACCTGCCATTACTTCATCAAGACCATAAATACAAGCAAAGAATTATTCCAAAGCTGGTGAGGTGGAAGAAGTCTGCTTTTCCTGCCTGGTGTCGGTAATAAAATTCTTTCCCAATCATGTATTCAAATCAGTACCACCCCCACAAACTTTTGTCTGCCCAAGTCACTAAGCAGTCTCCCTTTTTTGGACTTTGGTGTCATTTCAGATACTACAGACCAAATTTACTTATCATTACGAGGCAAAAAATTTTACTGGGTAGTTAATTTGGAATATTAGGTTTTCTTTGTCATTTAATGTTGGTTACAATCTATAACATCATTTATTGTCCGATACAGTTTTTTCTTTTGGAGAAAAAGGAAAATTGGTATTGGTAATATATATTGCCGTGACTAAAATTGCATATGATACTGATAGCAACTTATTTGAGACAGTAATTATTTTATTTGGTTTTCTATTTTTTGAACTCTCAATCAGTGTATCAAGTGAACCAGCTCAATAGAGCCTGACAATCAACTCATGATTATGGTTCTTTCCTTTGTTAAAGAATTTATGAAATTAAATTTCAAGTATATTTAATTTCTGAATAGTTTAGATAGTTGTTTTAGTTTGTCAAGCTAACCACAAAACCTTAGGCTCTGTTTAGTTGTGTTTTGTAATCATGATTCTACACCTTGATTCAAACATCATGTTTGGTTAGAGTTCTCAAAACACATTTCCCAAATTCTGCACAAAACACTCTGTCTGAGGCGCGGTTTTCGGATTTTTTTTTCTTCCAAATTTGGTCTAACCGGTCGTCCGGCCGGTTGACAGGAACAGTGATTTTTTTTTTTTTATATGTTAATTTTTATATATTTGAAAAAATATTTTCTGAATTTTTTAAAATTTTTTATGTGCTTTAAATTAATTTTGAGTTGTATGTTTGGTTGAGTTGTAAATTTTTGTATCAAATATCAAATGTCACTTCAACAATTCCCCACTCAATTCAAAACTCTTTACTAAACAAATATTCCACACTCAAATCATAATTCCAAACCTCACAAACTCAAAATACAACTCATACTCCCAAATCATAATTACAAAACTCTACCAACCGCAACCTTAGCCTTTTTTAAGTGGACTAAACATTTTTAATTAACATGACCAAAATCAGGATAATGATCTATGAGCTTCATGGTGTAGTAGAGAATAGACTAGCTAAGCAATTAATGTTTGATTCTAAGAAGTAATGAAGTTTATACCTAGAACACCATCTTTTGGACAATTTCTTAGCACCTTGTTGACTTTGACATTTAAATGTTGATTTGAGTTTTAAGTTTGTAACAAGTCAATCATGTCAAGCACCATGCTTTTTTTTTGGCTAGTGTCAAGCACCATGCTAAGGTGGTTTTGATTGGCACTTGAGCACCGTGACCATTGGTTCCCCATTAACAAATTGGGATGATTCTTCTTGCGTCCTAGTTGCTAGTCGCTTGATTCCCTTAACCTTGCACACAGACACAAACTCCACAAAACTCCTATCAAAGAAAGCAGAGAGAAAAAAATGAAGGAAAGAAAGAAACCGAAAACCTAGAGGACTTAATGAATAATGTAAGCATCGAGTTAGTTGTTATTTCTCATTCGTATCTATTTGATTTGTGTTCTGTTGATCATATCCCATTGTATCACTTTCTGACCCTCATACTGGTATTTTTATATTGAATAAGTGAAAAAAAGAGGCTCTATGTATATTTTACCTGTTTGTTTGATTTGAACCGTTTTGCCCTTTATTTCTGTAGGTCAGCATGACAATGAATATATCAGCAAACTTACAGTCATTGTTTACATGGAATACAAAGCAGGTTCAGTTCTTTACAAATCCTTATCTTCTTCTAGTTTGGTGCTGATTTTATTAGTCTGTTGCCATTGTTAGTAGATTAAGAGTGCATACTTCCTGAAATCAAAAACTTGTTCAGAAATCTAGAGTGCTGATGGAGAGTAAGTAAGAAGAGGACAAAGAAATAAAGTAATTTAAAATTATTATCATTGTGTTCGACAATCATATCTGGCTTAGAACCTTTCTGAAGTATATTACTGACTAATCAGATGCTTCAGCCACTATCAAGAATTAAAGAAAATGCAGCAAGTCAAGTCCTTTCCATGTAGGTGCTGATTTTATTAGTCTGTTGCCATTGTTTGGTAGGGTTTGGGGGTGTGGTGGTGGTGGACTTGTGGGTGGAGTCCTCAACGAGGACAGAAGTGAGGAATGTAAAAGGTAGGACATAGAAAGGGAAGGAGAAGGAAGAGGAAGGGAAGCGAGTGGCAGCTTGTTCTACTTATTACATGTATATGAAAGAACCCTTTTTAATGGCTTTTCTTAGATTTATGTGCACATAAAAGCACATCCATTGAAGCACTAGATGCTTAATTGATGGTACTACTCCAAAGCACATTTGTGAGGGTACAACCCCAAAGCATACTGCACTTCAGAGATGGTCAACTCTTCAATAGCCTTTTAAATTTGGCCTTGTTTGGAAAAGGCTATTTTTTTGCTTTTTGGGCTAAATTCACAAAAAGACAAAATAGACTAAAATAGCTAATAAGGCCTCGTTTGGGAACAGGCTAATTTAGTAACTTTTTGGCTATTTGGCTAAAAAGGTAGGTAAAAAAAACTTGTATGTTTGGGATGACTTTTTGGCTAATTACGAAAAGATGTGCAAAAAGTAGAGAGAAAAGAGAATCTTTGACTTTTTGGTATGGGTTGTTGGCTTTTTGGCTAATTTAGTAACTTTTTGGCTAATTGGCTAAAATAGCCTCTTGCCAAACGAGGCCTAAGACAAAATGTCATTTCAAATTCATAATCATTTCACTTTTTCTCTCACAAACATTACATACAACTATAAAAAAATCTAACCATCTTCCCAAACACAAATATTTTAGCCAATTAAACTAGTCAAAAGCTAAAATAGCCTACTAAAATAGCAACTTCCCAAACACCTACTTTGATTAACTGTAGACACTAAATTGTGTGAATCTACGAGGATTCTCGATTTTCGTTGCAAAGTGATGATGTTGACACTCTTCTAAACCATTAGGCAATAATTAAAACCAATAAACCAATAAAACCATAAGGAAAGAATATATGAATATGCTAAAATAATCCTAAGCTTATTAGGAGGGGGGGGACGCAGTGGATTCTTATAATATTTGGTTCTCTTTTACACTTTAGGTTAACCTTCTTGGGAATTTGAAAGAGAGAATAAAAAAAACAAAACAAAACAAAACAAACAAAAAAAAAGACAGATTATTAAAAGAAAAAAGTTTAATGCAATTGATTGAGAGATGCTGAGCTGACACATTGGTGCAAATTTCAGGACGGCATAATATAGTAGGTTCACACCAGCTTTGTCAACCTTTGGTAGTTTATAGTACCTTGAATCTTGTTTAAAATTTCATTTGCATCTCATTTTCTATTTGCAGGTTTTTGTATTTTTAGCTGCTGAGTATGAAACGCCCCAAAATTCCCTGAATCAGGTAATCACCATTTTATTATGAGTTGATCTCAAATGGGCAGTGATATTATGTACTTTAGCTTTGGGGTTCATTTCAAATTTCGTAAGGTCATTATTATCATGGTTGTTAGAATCTTATGATTCACAATTTGATTTATGCAATTTGATGAGTTTCAACCAAAATGATTAAGTTCGTATTGTTGAATCTTACGATTCATTGCGATTCACTATGATTCATTGCGATTCAGTTTTGTTTGCATAATTCATGAAACATCATCATTTTTGCAAAATTAAAAAAAAATCAATTAATTATATTGATATACATGGTTTTATATATATACAATTTAGTTATATTAATATTTATTTCATTTTAAACAGTGTATTTTTTTAATATATATACATATATAAAATTCCATATTATGTTAAATAAAGTGAATGTAACGATTCACTATTTTGACAAAATGATTCACGATTCAATTTGCACTCAGACAACAATGATCATTGTGGAAGCTGAGTTTTTTTATGAGAAGAGGTTATTGACAAGAAACATGAAATAATGGAATGAAGACGAGGTAAGATACCATGTGAGGAGTACACACACAGCTTTTGATTATCTCCACTTGCCTCTTATTATAGTCATTAGGCAAGATCTGAAATTGGAAAAATCATTGGGAATTTATCTAAAGTGAAGGAGGCTTTTGTTAGTGATTTAACCAAATGATGAATTATTAATTGAACATGGTACAACCAGAAGGATAAGATTTTGGGTAGGGATTGTAAGAACTATCTTACTTAATTGGATTATGTTTCAAACAGGCATATGCATAACGTGTATCTTTTTGAACTCCGGAAATGTTTATGCAATGCAACGCATGATCTAATGTTTTTGCTAGGAAGTAGTAGTAGAATTGCGAGGCCTCAAAAACCGATCTGTTTAGGTTATTTATGAAATTTATGGGTCTGTTTTGGGAGAAGCAGCTATGCACAACTACCACTGGCCTTATTAAATTGTGACTTGTTAATTTGTGGATATATTGCTGTCCCAAAATTTTGGGGGAAACGGATATACACATCTACTCATGTCCTCGTTAGAACTTATTACCAATGTCGTCATTGAAAAATTACAGGTTAAACAGACCCTTTTCTGAATCAAAAAAGTCAAATCATGGATCCGAGGAAAAGAAAATCATTGTCTGAAATACATAGATCTGACTCTCAACTCAAGATATATAATGGCCTTGTTTGGTTTGTTTTGAGATATTATTTCAAAAATAATTTTCTGGAGAGTTTAGAAAATTTGAAAATTTGTTTGGTTGTATATTTTAAAAATAGTTTTGGAGTTTGGAATGATTTGATATTTTTTTGTAGTTGAATAGATGGGTAAAACACAACGCTGCTCAAATAGTACACATTAATGTGCGTTTGGGTGTGAAAGAAAAAGTAATTGAGAATGAGAGAGGAGAGAAAAAGTGATTGATTGATGTGTAGTAGAGAGAAGTGATTTTGGAATTTTTTTAAAAAAAATTTCAACCAAACATGTTTTTAGAATTTTTTCTCCAAAAACATGTTTTGAGAGACAAACCAAACATGTTTTTGGTTCCCATGTCATTTTGTAAACTTGCTATTGTATGATTGCCCGAAGTAGTTTGTTACAAGGCATTGTTGATTTCTGCATGTTCTTCATAGAGTTTTGCCTCTGAGGAGCTGGTGAAATGTAATGGAAAATTGTTACATATGTTGAAGAATATTAAAACTGTTGCCTGCTGAATTTGTAGGTTTTGAAATAATTATCAAAAAAAAATAATAATAATAGTAGATTGTGAAACTGTTTTAAGTCTTTGAAAAATTAATTGTGGTAAATCTGAAGTCATTTGAGTGTCAGTTTGCTGTTTTGTCAAGTTTTTGGACCCGGAAAGAACCATTGTTCAGTTACATGTGGTATTTATTATGATGAACTGATGAAGCTATTATCAAACTTCACCTTGAAAAAGGTGAAATCCACCTGACTTGTACATTGCTCATCAGTCTATCCAAGATATCTGCACTGAAAGTAAATTGCCTGGTGGGCTGACTTTTTGACACATAAAGTTGACACGTTGAGTGATGGTTATTGCAGTATCCAAACTGAACTCCTGGCTGGGTTGCTAGTCAGTCATGTCCGATTTTTGTTGTTTTACTTTTACCATGCTGTGGGGGGATCTGATGTTCGTACTTTTTTCCAATTCTTTTTCCATTTTTTATTAAACCTCTAATATAATGTCAACTTAGAGGATCAATTACTACCACTTAAATGTATATATGTTAAACATTGAGAGGCATGTAATGATAACTGTGCTTCATTTCTCAGATTCCCGATGCATATGAACTTTCTGATTGATCTAAAGTATTGTCTTATGGCAGGTGTCCCTGTGGGATGGTATTATACCTTCTAAAGAGCATGCAAAATTCTGGATTCATACAACAAACAAGTATCGTTTCACTGATCAGGTAAGCTTCTTTGGTGATGAATTCTCCCCGTTGCCGATGAATATTTGACCCCTTGTTCTGTGTGGTTGGTTGGGCTTTATATCCTCTTTTTTCCTTGTGCAGGGAAGCAATCTCCAGGGAAAAGAATTCAACTTGACTTTGCACTGGCATGTCATGCCCAAAACTGGCAAGATGTTTGCTGATAAAATAGTTTTGTCCGGTTTCAGTTTGCCAGTGGAATATAGATGAGGACTTTTTTGTTGTGTAGGACTTGACTGTAACTTTATCCTTGCCTTATTCAAGGTGGAATAGGGGGAAAAGAAAAATCCATGTTTGAGAATGTTAGAGCAAGTGATTTAGTGGCTCCTTTAAATTAATGAAACTTAATCCAACTTTTGGATTCTCAATGTTGCTTTGGAGGAGATTTACCATGTTTTTGTTTATGCAAACACTATTTTTGTCCAATTAACATAATTGAATACGATTAATATTTGCATTAACATGCTTTAACAAAAGAGTGAATGAGCTCACACAATTTTAAAGGAAACATCCAAAAGGAGATTGATTATTCACAGTAAACAGAGTCATTGTAATATTATTATATTTATTAGGTAGCAAAGGAGGATCCTCCAATTCTAGGATTAGAGAGAAGCCAAACTTGTAAGTTTTAGGGTGTTTGGCAATAAGTTTTTTTTGACTTTTTGGGCTAAAATAATATTAAAAGATAAAATAGGTTAAAATAGTTAATAAGATAAAATGTTATATCAAATTTATAATTATTTTACTCTTTTTTTTCTCATAAATATCATATCTATTTACAAAAAAAATTTAACCCTCTTTCTAAACACAATTATTTTAACTTATTAAAATAATCAAAAATTAAAATAGTCTACTAAAATTGCTCACTTTCCAAACATAGAGTAAATATTTTTATATAACAGTAATATCATGCGACAGTTTTATCAATTTAATGAGGAATTTACTTTTTATGATAAGAATTATAACATATCTAAATTAGTGAGAGAAACACTTGTACGCATCTAATTTGATTGAAATGATACATGATAATTTGAGATTGAAAGCCTAAGGAGTTTGATTGTTATGATTTAAAAATAAAGGAGTATTTATACATAAGTTTCAATTTATGAATTATATTTCATTAAATTCTAATTAAAATTTTTTAGACCTTTAAATCCCTATTACGGCGGTCGTATCAGCGACGAAAATATTAAACGTCGTTGTAACTTATGACGGCGTTTTTGAGACTTATAGGGTCGTTTTTGAAACGCCGCTAAAAATCAATTTTCCTGCAATGAGTATTTCATTCTTGCAAAAAATCATATTAATTGGATGTTGATAGCTACTTGATCGGTTCAAATTTACGTGAATAATTTATTTTGAATATCATATTTACCGTTGACAAAAATATGATTTGATTAAGTAACTATCGATATCCGATCAAAGTGAGTTTTTGCAAGAATGAAATACTCGGTGAGTTCTATATATTGAATGATTTGAATTATCAAAACAAGACTTGTGATAGGCCCCCATGAGCCCAGCAACATACTCTAGTCCGATTCTGAAATGGAAAGAAACCTGCCCTTTTTGTTAAATTATAGTTGTTGATGGGTGGTATCCCTCCTTAGTTGGATCCCAAGACTCAAATATTACCAAATTATTCAAATAGTGTGGGATGCATAACCATATCTGTGATTTGGTAAAAATTTTAACAATTCATTTAGTGTCAACATTTTTGTTATTTTTTTTTTTTATTATTAACAGAAAATAACATTAATCAATTTTTTAATTAAAAATATTACAAAGGAAATAATTTTTTTCAAAATAAATATTCAAAAAATTTAAATCATAAAAATTTAAATAATTTAAAAATTTTAATAAGTAAAAAATTAAAATAAATATTCAAAAAATTTAAATCGTAAAAATTTAAATAATGTAAAATGTTAATATTTTAAATTTTAAAATAACTCTATACTCAAATCGTAACTAAACACATAAAACAAAACTCAATTAAGAAATTATTTTTAAAACTTATAACCAAACATATAACTCGAAACTCCATAATACTTTCACAACTCTATACTCAAATTGTAACCAAATACATAACAAAAAAAATTAAAATATTTAAAAATATTTTTGTAAAATAGAGTTTGAATTTATTTTTATAAAATATTTTAAAATTTAAAAAATTAAAATTGTAATATTTAAAAATTAAAATTTTTAAAAATATTCAAAAAATTAAAAAATTAAAAAAATTGTAACATATTTAAATATTAAAATATTTAAAATCTTAACAAAATTAAAATATTTTTAAAATATTGATTTGAATGGAGTTTTGAAAATAGTTTTGAATTATGTGTTTGGTTATGAGTTTTGAAAAGTAATGATTATGTTTTGAATTGAGTTTTGAGAAATGAGTGTAGAATTATGATTTAAAAACTCTAAACAAACACCATACTCAAAAGTGAGTGTGGAACTAGATTTTGAAAACTCCACCAAACGGAGCCTAAAATTTTAAAATCTTAATTCCTCTACCCACCCAATCTTTACTCACTACTATTCATCTATGATAATCATCTCTCTACCTTAGTAACACATTCTTTCACATTTCTCTTCACCGCCCTTCACTTATTTACGCAGCATCATTATTCGCCACTTTTTTTTTTTCTTTTTTTTTTTTTAAGATTCGCTACTCTCAAACCCTCACTTTTCTCCTCTATTGCCCCTTTACCAGATCCAACATGACCTCTCTTTTTATTTTCATTGCCATTTACTATTTTTTTTTTCTTCTTCTGTAAATCTATTTCTTTCTGTCACATGCGATGGTGAAGTTATGAAGTGGTTGGCTGACAGCGGTAGAGGTTGAGAAAGGGTCTATCATGGTAGAGGAGGCTATAGCAATTGGCGGTGGCGGTGACGATTGTGGAATGGATGATGCTAGAGGTGTAAAGAAAACATTGAAACGTTAAGGATGAGATTGTATTTAGAATTATGAAGAACGTAATAAGATAAAATAAATTTTTTTTAGGTAAATTACAATCATCTTCCTTAAGTTTGAAAAAAATACAATTATTCTTACATTTTTGATATAATTATAGTGACTTTCTTTAAGATTTTAATTTACTTAATAGTTAGACCATTTTTTTTATATCAATAATTCATTTGTTATATGAATAAAAAAAAGAGTGTTGTTATTAGCACGTATCAATTATTTTGGATCCGATATTTCTTTAGACTCCCACTTATAAATTTTAGGATAAATTACAAATATACTTCCTAAGATTTTCTTAAAATATAGAATGACTCCTGTGGTTTGAAAAATTACAAATATCCAATTATTAGAATTTTTTATTTAACAGAATTAACTGAAAAAAATAAAATTCATAATTGTTCTCTTATACAATAATAAAATTACTTAAATTATTAATTGAAACATACTTTTAACATCATTAAAAATTGTTAATTGACTTGATGATTTATTAATAAAATAAACAATTTGTTATGAAATTTAAAATTTCAGGGAGTGGAATGTAATTTTTACAACTACAGGAGACGATTTATATTTTAATAAAACCTCAGGGTGTGTATTTGTAATTTATCCAAATTAAAACCCTTAAAATTTCTTTTCTACCCCCAAAATAATACCAAAATTATTTTTGTAAAAATATTCTACCTAGTCAATTGAATGCACACCTCCTACACCCCAAAAACCTCTCTCCCAAAAGCCCTAACAGAACTTACGAATATAATTACTATTTTATCTCCACATACTTGTTCATGACCTTACAGTGAGAAAATAAATATAAGATTTTTAATCTTCAATCCTTAAAATATCTCAGCAAGAAATTGGGTTGGGGTTTTTGTGGTTGAGAAAGAAGAAGAAGAGCCAAAGTGTGATTACTGTTAGAAATGGTTATAAATTCTGGGTAAAATCAGAATTTTATCCTAAGTTCGGTCTATTTTTTAGGTGGGTCCCGTGTGTCGATTTTCACGGGTCAAAGTGGTAACGCGTTCTATGCCGCGTTGTGATTCACGTGGTATATTTGGTTGCTCAAAACCATTACCGAGTGAATGAGAAATTTAAGCCAAAGTGTGCACCATGGAAATGGAGTTTTGGTGGAAATTCCTTAAAGGCTTGAATAAGGCGTGTCCCACAATGATTTGGTTGGAGTTTTTGAAAGGGTTTATAAGGCATGGGTTTGGTACTTGGGGTGTGCCCCAAGGGGTACCCAAGTGTTTTAGAGGGAGAGGTTATGGGCAAAATGGGCTAGACCCATTGGACTCAAAAAACCACCACACGCGCGCCGCCGCCATCCGAGCAGGCTGGGCTTCGGTGCGGGTGCGTGGTGTGTGGTGTGTGGTTGGGCTTGTCCAGCCCAATACTAATCTTTTTTGGTCAAAAACATTTGAATTTAATTTTATTTTTAGTAAAATAAAATCCAGAATTCAAATTAAAGTTGTTTGATTTTTTTGTACATCCAAACAGGGCCCTTCCCGTATTAAACCGGAAATAATCTGATCCGGATTTACTGTACACCCAAACAAGACCTTTCCCGTTTTTGTTATCTGTTTGAATTGTAACCCAACAGATTCAAATCTGTTTGAATTCAAAACCAACAGGTATCATACCTGTTCAATTCAAAAACCTAGAGCCACCATTCCATCTATAAATAGGACAGTCCTCATTTGGATTTTTAAACAAAAAAAAACTCTAATTTTCGTCCTTCATAATTCTGCAAACATCCTCTTCATTTTGCTACATTATTTTCTTGTCAGAGAGAGTATAAACACTTTGTGTGTTCGTTAGACAAACAATTTGTAGTGCTGCTATTGTTTGTAGTAGATCATTTTATCTTGGGAGATAGACGTCCACATTCTGAAAGCACCGTAGAGAGGACGAATCTGTCTTAAGGACACAGTGTCAAACACTGGACTTGATCAGATTATAATTCGAAGAAATTAAATCAAGTAAGTTATTTAATTAATTTTTGTGTTATTGTTATTTATTTAAATCAGATTTTATTTTTATTTTTGTAACAAAATAAAATCTGTTTTTATTTATTTATTTATTATTTCAAGTTTGATTTTTGTAATCAAACAAATTCTCTCCTTTTCTTTATTTCTTTAAATTCTAGTTATTGTTTTGTACACAATAGAATTAAATCTTTTAAATACAGTGAAGATTGTCCAACAATCTTAAGACAACATCCTTTTTGGTATCTTCATTGTATTTAATTTTCTGTGTTTTCAAACTAATATTCTGGTTGGAAAATCAAATAGTGATTTATGCTATTTGACAGATAGCAGTAATATACTGTCTCTTTTCTTTGACAACTAGTAGTAATATACTGGTGTCATTAACAATTGCAGAATATTATTTGGTGTTACAGAATATTATTTTGGTATTTTATTT